CCGCCGTGCTGCCAGTGGGTGGCCCGGCCGGCGCCTTGCTGAGGCCACCGCTTCCTGCCCTCTCTGCTGTGTGCATTTTTGTCTTTTTTTTTTTTTCCAGAATATGAACTCATTTTGGCTGCACCATCTGTATGTCTTTTCCATGAGTGTCTGTTGAGAGCTTTTGCCTCTTTTTAAATTGGGTTTTTTGTTTTCTTATTGGTGAGTTTTAAGCGTTGTTTGTATATTTTGGCAACTGAGCATATTGAAAGGCGCTCTGCATCCTATGTCAAGGGGGTGGGGGTTGGTAGGGTCCCCCTGCACGAGATCAGAAGGGCCAGAATCTGGAACGCGGCCAGCACCACCTGGTGGCGAGGATGAAAACGGCAGGCGCTCTCCCTCGGGGACCGGGCAGCCACGCTGGAAAACAAGTTTGATGGTTTCTTACAAGAAACAGCCTCTTATCGTAGGATCCAGCAGTTGTGCTCCTTGGTATTTATCCAAATGAGTTGAAAACTCATGTCCACACAAAAATCTGCACATGGATGTTTATAGAGCCTTTATTCATAATTGACAAACCTTGCAAGAAATCAGGATGTCCTTTAGCAGATGAATGGACCAGCGGTGGTCCATCCAAACAGAGAAGACATGGAGGACCCTGAAATGTGTGTCACTAAGTGAAAGGTTACATGCTGTGTGATTCCATGTGACGTTCTGGAAAAAGGCAGGCCTTTGAAGACGGTAAAGAGATGGGTGGTTGCCAGACGTTGTGGGGAGGAGGGGTGAGCAGGTGGTGTGCAGAGGACTCCGTGTGAGGCTGTCACGGTGGCGACGTGTCACTGGACATTTGTCTGAAGCCACAAAGTGCGTGACACGGAGAGTGAGCCCTGGTGTGAACGAGGGACTTCGGTTAATAATACTGTATTGCCGTTGGCTCATCAGTTACAACAATTGTACCCCACCAATGGGGCAAGTTAACTGAGGGGAAATTGTATGTGTGGGGGCGTGGGGGTGTGATCTAAGCTGAGAATCACGGCTCGATTTTCTGTAACCTAAAACTGCTTTAAAATGGATCTGCAATTGTGACAGCGCTATAGCTATAAACTCAGAAAGTAAGAAAGGAGAAAGTGCATAGTGATAGTTGTAGAATCCTGAGCCTAGTCAAGTGGCCAGGGGACTCGAGAAAATGTCATCAGCCTTCTCACCACGAGTCAGTCAGCTCGGGAGCCACGGACACAGACCGCACAAGGGGCGGGGGGGTTGCTGCCGGATAGAGAGTCTGAGGGCATAGGACCCCCCGCCACGAGGGGGGCGGTTGAACCGCAGTGGAGGGGCTCCAGCGATTCAGGTCGGCATCGTGCTGGCTCTGCCACCTTGATTGCCCTCAGGAGGACACCCCCCCTGAATTCTCCAAAACTTCAGGAGCCTCACCCTGACACGAAGAGGCGACTGTCCCCACCAAACAACTAACCTACTGGGGCTGAGACCCCAGGGCCCAGGCCACCAGCTTTGCCTTCATGATCCCAGGCCAGGGTCCCTTTGGGGTCTGTGCTTTTCTCCCACTAGCACCCCCACCTGGTCCTCCAGGGCCCCCACCTTGGATTTCAGGGTAGGGCTCGGACTCCTGTCTTTCTGTCCTGCACAACCTCGGATTCCTCACTGGAGGTGACCAGCTCTTGTCTCCACCTCTGCAGACCAGGCGATGGTGGGCACAGGCAGTGGGAGGGGTCGTCCTCCTGGAAAGAGAGGCTCTGGTGGGCCCGGGCTGTTGGGGGGCACAGGCCTTATGCTCTGTGTTCCCTGTGCCAGGGTCTCAGACCTCATTCGAGAAGCCCAGGCTCACCCCCAGGTCCTCCGGCGGCCACCCTCTGTGGCACGCGCAGGGCTGTCAGGGAGGGACCCGCTGGGCGGGCGTGGGTGGGGGTGGGCGAGGTGCCCCAGCCGGGGCCGTTGACACATGGAGCTGGGGCAGAGCAGGGGATGGAAAAAGTGAGTGAGGGCGGGCTGCCGAGGCCGCGTTCCGGGAAGGTGAGCAGCAAAGTGCTGACTGTGCCCGGCTCGCTGGCTTCTTATCTGAGCCGCCGTGCTGCCAGTGGGTGGCCCGGCCGGCGCCTTGCTGAGGCCACCGCTTCCTGCCCTCTCTGCTGTGTGCATTTTTGTCTTTTTTTTTTTTCCAGAATATGAACTCATTTTTAAAAAAAAAGCATACTCAAAATGTGTTAATCAATTAGATCTTTACTTTTAATGTTGGTATTTTTTTATGCTCAAAGTGCTCCCTTGTCTTTTGATAGGATGCCCACTCGGTTCCTTTTGGGGCAGCGAGTTGCCCATGCCCCGCACTGACCAGCATGGGCAAAGGTCCCTTCACTCAGAGCCTGAGTCAGGCCCTCCTGCTCCGGCCGCCTCCCCTGGGGCCCTCCCCGGCACATGGCTCACCCCTGGGAGGTATTTCACAGGTGGGGTTCGTGGATCAGACCGCAAATGCTTGGCTAACTGCCGGCTAGCACACAGTTCTCCAGTCTGACCTTCCCGCCCGCCATGCTCCCAGTGCTCGAGGTGCCTGTGTCCCCGCATCTTCGCCAGCAGTGCAGAGTCATGCGCTCGGAGTGTTGCCCGTGGATAGGTTCATTGAAATCTGTGTTTTTCTTTTCTTTTCTTTGAGATTTTATTTATTTATTTGACAGAGAGAGACAGCGAGAGAGGGAACACAAGCAGGGGGAATGGGAGAGGGAGAAGCAGGTTTCCCGCCGAGCAGGGAGCCTGATGAGGGGTTTGATCCCAAGACCCTGGGATCATGACCCGAGCCAAAGGCAGATGCTTAACGACTGAGCCATCCAGGCGCCCCATAATCTGCATTTTTCTTATGAGTAAAATGGAACATCCGTTTGTTGCTTAAGGGATATGTATATACCTACATGGAATATATGTATGTGTGCGTATGTATAGCGTTTGTGGCTTGTATGGAGCATGTACACGTGTGGACGAACATACATGTGCATTTGCATGCACACACGTGTGCACATGTATGCGTGTGTATATGCGCATGTGTGCACATGCAGATTTGTGTTGCACGAGTGCATAGTCTGTGTGCACGTGCGTGTGTGCATGTGCACTGTGTGAATGTGTGTACGTGTGTGCGCGTGTGCACTGTGCATGTATGTGCATACGTGTGTGCACTGTGCATGCATGTGCGTACATGTGTGTGCATGTGCACTGTGTGCATGTATGTGAGTACGTGTGCGTGCATGTGCACTGTGTGCAGTGTGCGTACGTGTGCGCGCGCACTGTGTGCATGTATGTGCGTACGCGTGTGTGCACTGTGTGCATGTATGTGCGTACACGTGTGTGCGCACGCTTTCATGTGTACATGCACATATGTGAAGGTGGAAAGTGCCTCATATCTTCTGTTCACTTCGCCACTGTGACTTGGACCTTTCCATATTTTAGAAGATCTTTATTTAATTGGAGTATTAACCTTTTATGTAATATTACAAATACTTCCCCTTAGTTCGCTTTGACACTTTTTTTTTACCACATTAAAGTGTTTTCCCCAATTTGTAGAATTGAATGTCTCTATCTTCTCTCTAATGGCGCTGTGATTTCGAGCCAGCCTTAGGAAGGTTTTCCTGCCCCGCGGCAAAGGAACTCACGCCCGCCTTCTGGGTCTTGCAGGGTTTCTGTTTTATACTTCTATTTGGGATCTGTGCAAGTCCATGGCATGAGGGGGGAGTCTGCCTAATACTTTTTCAAAGAGCTCTTAACACCACTTACTACCACGTCTGTCTTTCTCCGCCAATGGCCGTCCTTTGGTGCGTGCAAGCCACCGTCCATCGTGAGTTGTACATCTGATAAAGTTGCTGCCTTTCACTTTCTTTTCTTGGTTTCCTTGGCTCTTACCTGCTTGTTTGTCTCTGCATGAACTTCTCAGTTGCAGAGATGTGGGTTTTTATTGGGATTGTGTTACATCTACAAGTTAACGTGGGGAGAGCTGGCCTCTCGATGGTGTGTTCCCGCCGGCAGGACTGCTCTGCCCTCCCGCCTGTGCATTTTGTGCGGCTCTCATTAAACCGGTGCCTCAGGCATTTAATCTTCTCTGTTGCTGTTGTAGGTGGAAGATGCTCTGGACACTTTTCCTTCTGACTGCTTACTGTTTCAATATATTTTAGATGTGCCACTTGACTGCATCTTCTCGTTTCTGTCCTGGTTTCTCCACAGAAGCCGTCAGGTTCTCCAGGCACGCAAGCCTGCAAACTTCAGCATTCCCTCAATGCTGATCTTGCCGGCAGCCCCAGAGCAAAGTGGCATCCTTGCCTTGTCCTGGACGCAGTGCTCCTACCTCCTGGGGCACCCAGGACGGGACCCCAGCGTGGCAGGCTGGGGTGTGCGCGCAGGGGGCTGGGGAGTGGGGAGGGGGGCAGCTGTGTGTGTGGCCCCTGAAGGTTTGGACGAGGAGCACCAGGAAGGGGTGAGGCCGGGGGGTGGGTGTCTGTCACTGCGGTCAGTCAGGGATGAGAACTGAGGTGCTCACGGCGGTGCTGTATCTTCAACAGGACGAGGGAGCCGACGTGCCCTTTGCGCATGGGAAGGGCTGTGTTCCCCGCTGGTGCCGCTCCCACTCACTCCCCTGTGCAGCCCGCCCCCTGCCCCAGTCCAGGGTACTGGCGCTGCCTAGGAGGGACTCTCAGGTGGGGGGTGGGTGCGCCAGGCTGAGGCGGTCTGGGGACGGGCTTCCTGGGGGTGGCGCCTGTTGGCATCCTGGGACTCACCCCGCGGAGGCTGTGGGGTGTGCATGCCGGGGGAGTGGATACGAGAGGCTTCGGTGGGTCTGTGTGTTTCTGGGACAGTGAAGGTGAGGGCCTGGTGGGTGAGGGCCAGGCCTGGGGAGGGCTGGCTGTGTCCTCCATCTTGGGGCAGAACCTTACCCCCCTCCCTACGACCACGAGAGCAGGAGAGAACTCGGGATTCCCTTAGAGCTTTCGTCATTATTTAATTATAATAGAACAGAACAGGGTGAGGGGCTCTGAAGTGTTTGTGGGACCCAGGACAGGATATGGGATATGTGCTCCTGAGTCCCCGACACCCGGGTAGCCACTGGCCAGCCTGCCCCAAGCTGACCTGCCGCGTGCCGGGCTGAGGCCCCTTTAAATAGCACCGTGCATGGGCGCCAAGGAGAGGGCGACTCCCAGGGGTCCCCAGGACGGCCTCGCTGGCGTGACTCCAGCTCTGTCTGTTCCCCTTGTTGTCCCCCCCCCCGCCCCCGCCCCCGCCGGCTGCTTGGTGGGCTGGGCCGGGCATGAGGGTGGCCCAAGGGCACCTGCTCTGCCGTGCCGGGAGCTCTTTCCCAGGCAGGCCTGGAGGAGCACGAGGCCCGCACCCCATGCGTGGGCCCCTCCAGGTGCACGAGGGACCCCTTGGCTGTGGGGGCATGTCACCGGGCCACTCCGAGGCAGGGTCTCCAGCTGCTGTCCCTGCGCTCCCGTGTCCAGGCATCAGGCCCCCCTGGAGGTGGTGGGGGGCCGCAGAGACTCCTGCAGCCTGACCCTCAGGAGGCCACAGCGCTAGCCCACCCTCACCCCCGGGGAGGCACAGAGCAGCAGGTCTGGAGAGTGACCGGCTCAGGGGGCTGGGCCTGGAGTCCTGGGTGAGTCTCCTTTCCCGACCACAGCCACAGGAACAGGGACACCTCCTGCCCCCAGGTCGCGCGAGTCCCCAGAGGAGAGCCGAGCAGGGCTGGTGCAGGCAGGGCTGGTCACCGGGCTCAGCCCTGGGGCGGCCCTCACTGCCTCCCCAGTACACGCTCCGCCCCGTCTGGGCTCCTGGTGGAGGGTCTGAGGGACTCAGGCTGGGCGAGGAAGCTGGTCAGAGGGGCCAGGGGCAGGGTCTGTCCTCGGGGCTCAGAGGCTGGGGTCCCTGCGGGCTGTTGGCTGAGGCCCTGCGGCCCGGGGACCCCGGCCTGCTCGGGAAGACAATTGTGGCATACTCTGTCTGTTCGGGGGCACAGGGGGCAGGAGGCTCTGGCGTCTTCTCTCGCCACTGGAAGTCCAGCTCCCCGTAGTCCACGGTGAACACAGGCGCCGCAGAGGGGCCCTCCTTCTTTAGGGAGAGAAGGAGAGAGGCGTCAGCTGTCCCCGGGGGGCAGACAGGCAGGTGCACACTGGCACGCGTGCATACGTGGGGCCAAAGCAAAGCAAGGCTGGGGCGGGGCCTGTGCTCCCGACCCTTTCTGGGGCCTGGCGTCCCCACGCTCAAACTCAGTGGCGTGGCAGCTCCTGAGCCCCGTGGACCCCTGTACCACCCCGGGGTGGCAAAGGGAAGGAAACTCACCAGGGGCTCGTCCTCACTCCCACAGGCACAGGTACCTATGAAGAAATGCGTCTGGACTGAAGAAATGCATCTGGCCTGAAGAGGCCCAGGGCACACCCCACGGCCCACGAGCTGGCGGGGGTGGGGGTTCGTAGCCCCTTCCTCCCCAGGGCCTCCCACCTGGCGTGACTGAGTGTCCTCTCAGCCGCCCGATGGTCTGGCTAAGCCCACCCCCCACACGAGGACCTGAGTCCCTGCTCATCAACCAGAGGTCCCACGCGGACCCGTGAGTTGCGCGGGTTGGACCACTGGCTTCCAGTCCCGGTCCCTGCCACGGGCGCCTGCCGTCTCTGGCCACAAACCCCCGACTGACATACGCGCCCAAGGCAGACACCAAACCCACAGCACAGTGGGCGCCTTGTCAGCGAAGCCGTGGCAAGCATCTCTCCAACAGAGGCCACCCAGAAATGCCACATGTCCCCCTCCTGTGGCCAGCAGAGAAGTGAACGCCCACTGGGGACCGGCCACAGGGGTGATCGTGGAGGCCAGCGGCTGCCGGGGGCTCATCTGGGACCCTGTGGAGCCTCCTGTTCTCTGGCCACATGTCCCCCGAGGTGCCTCCTGGCCCAGGAGACCACGACCAGGCCCGCAGAGGAGCTGGCCCCGGGGCTGGGTCCCCGTGGGCTCCTCCCTTCAGCCCCAGCCCCAAGCTGTGTGGGACCGCCAGGGAGCCAGGGTGTGTGCAGAGTGGGGGTGAGCGGGGCTGGCGGGGGCTCACAGCAACTGCCCTAGTGGCTGTGGTTGTCAAAGGCAGAGCCTAGTGGCTGTGAGAGGCGCTTCCAGGGCTCTGTGGGCTGTGTGTGGCCTGAGGTTTGGGGGAGGCCTTGCTGTGGGCAGCGTAGGTGGCTCAGCCTGTTGGGGGGCTGCTTTCTGACTTTCTATGTGACCTCGGCCACTGCCTTCCCCCTCCGACCCCTCCTTAGAGCCGGTGCCGGGGGAGGGGACCCCAGAACCTGGGGCGCCCACTCCAGCCCCAGGCCCTCGCGGAGGGGTGCTCACCATGGAGGGCACTGGGCGGGGAGGACGGTGAAGCAGGGTGGGGGTCCCCGGTGCACGAGGCTGGGGGCAGCGCCTTGGGCTCTGATGGCAGGAGGCAGCAGTGGGGTTGGGCCGGGGCCTTACCTTGGGCGGCCCTGGGGAAGGCCGCGGCCAGGACCCAGGTCAGCAGTAGGAGGAGCAGGACTCCCACCAGCACACTTGTGATGCCGACGACCAGCCCCTGTAACTGGCCAGTGAGTCTGGGTGGGGGGCTGGGGCTCTCGGTGGGGGGCTCCAGGGTTCTCTCTGGGGGGCAAACGGACAGAGACTCATGGAGGCGACCTAGTAATGGGGACGCAGGGAGGGGACGCAGGGCCCTCCCCTCCCCTCTCCCTGTCCCGAGGGGCCTGGCTTCTAGTCCTGCACTACCCAGTCTCGACCCCCCCCTGCATCTCTGCTGTGCTTCCCAGCTTAGCCTTCTCCTGAGAAGCGCCCCACCTGCCGCCCCCCTCAGCCTCTGCCTTCCCTTAAGGAGTAGCAGTTCTGGGGGTGCTTCCCATCCCGAGAGCTAGGGCCGCTGGTCCCTGCGGCCTGGGTGTGGACAGAGCTGCACATGAGCCTGGGGAGTCCCTGCCCACTGTGTCCGCACTGCCCCCTGCCCCCAGTCTTGGGGCTTGGGGGCCACACCTTTCACAGTGAGCTCTGCGTGGGGACTCTCGTTGATCTGTGTGTTGGGGGGCAGGTAGATGGCCCCACAGAAGTAGGTGCCACTGTCATTGAGCTGGGTAGCCACGATGCTCATGTGAAAGTCCCGCCCGTTGGGTAGCCGCGTGACGTGGAAGCGCTTGTCCGGGCCTGGCTGGATGTGGTCCTCCTGGAAGGCGGCCAGTTTGTCCGTCTGGTTGCGGGGGCTCATGCGGTACCAGTTGAGCACAAAGCTCTCGGGGATGTTGGAGAGGCCGCAGGTGAAGGTGGCGTTGTCCCCCTCGTGCACTGTGAGCTGCGCTGGGGAGAAGGTGAGGGGGCTCCAGGCCCTGTCAGGGGAGTCTGGGGGGGAGAACCAGCAGCCGGTGAGGGAGGGTTGTGGGCATGGCGGCCGTCCAGACCCTCCTCCCCTCCCACTCCCAGCCTCACTGCCTCAGAGCCTTGCAGCTTCTCCTTACACACCCCCAGGGATGAGGCGCTCACTTCTCACCAGGCAAATCCACGGGGGGGTTTGACTGTACTGAGACCTGAGGCCTGGGCTGTGTTCCGGCTCTGGCTCCCAGGTCCCCCGTTTCTCCCCCAAACAGTGGTGGTTAGGGCCTTCCTCCCTCCCTTGTTGACTCCAGGTTGCTAGTCCCCGCAGGCCTAACCGTCATGTTCCTATAGCTCCACCATCCTGGGTCCCCGGCTCATCAGGGGCTAGCCTGGTCCTGTGTGCACCGTGAGGGTGGAGGGGTGGGCATCTGGGATGCTGGGGCGGGCCGGTGTGGGCCTCCCATGGAAAGCTCAGTGTCCAGCCCTTGGCCCATCGCAGGACAAGCTCAGAGCTGGGACCAGGTCAATGTGGGGCCCTCTGTCTTCTGCCACGGCTCTGGGACTGAAGTTCAGAGGCCAGCTGAGCCATCGCCCCTGACGGTCCTGGGCTCTGGCCCACACTCCACAGAACAAGGCTTTGTAAGAACACCCAACTGCCAGGCCCTGGCCCGGGGACACCACCACATCCTTGGAGGGGCTCCCGGCTCCTTCCACCAAGGCCTACCTCACTAACGCACCCACGCCTGCCCTCACCTGTGTGCATATGCCCTCACCTGCTCACACTCGGCAGCAGAGGAAGCCCCTCCCATCTGGGCCCAGGGGACACACCAGCAGCACCCCATGTGGTCAAGGCAACACAAGAACGGGCCAGGGGCTCCCAGGGCCCTGGGCTGGGAGCCACGGCCAAGCCCACACGTGCCGAGCCTTCCAGTGTCTGTCGTCGGCTCACCGGGAAGGCTGGGCCATGAGCCCTGATCGACACATGGGGAAACTGAGGCTCAGAGGGAGGACGCAGCAGGCCTCAAGCTGCTCTGTCCAGGACCAGCTCTGGGTCTGCAGCCGGCTGTTCTGGCCCCTGCCCAGGGGGCTGTGCCTGGGACCCATGGGCTCCTCCCGACCACACTGCTCTGGGCCTTGGCTTCCTCACCTGGGACGTAACACCCAGACCCGAGACGCTGCCCAGTGAGGTCATTTCCTGGCCCACTCAACACGTCCCATGCCCCTCAGCTCCCCCAGCACTGCGATGACCAGAGGCCCACTGCCCTGTGGAGCCGGGCATCTGCTCACAGACCCCACCCTGGCCTTCCCAAGGGTGACCCCCACAACAGGGTGGCCCACGCTAAGCCCCTTTCCTATTTGTACCTGCGTGTCCAACCCACGCAGAACCGGCCCAGCACAGCAGGACTTCCCTGCCCGTCCTAACGCACGTCTTCTTGATTCGTTTATTTGAGAAGCACACATGTTACAAAGAGAGCGTCGTGTAACAGTGCAAGCAGGCAGAAGTCGGCCGTGCAGCCTCGGTCCTGAACTGCTGGACCCGCTGACCCACCTTGTTCTGTGCATCTCCCGCCCAGCACCACGCCCCCCCAGCTCCCACCCAAGGTGTGCGTGCACCTGCCTCCTCGCAAGTGCCCTCCAGGAATCCCCACTCTGCGTGCCCCGCCCTCAGACCCACACCCCCACCGAGGCCTCCAGACAGACCCTTGCCCTCCCTGCATCAGGGCCCCCGAGAAGTGGCCCTTGGGGGTCCATGTGGTGCATGGCATCCCCTCCCCTCCTGCAGAGGCCCCCCCCAGCGGGCCTCCCCAGGGCTCCCGAGTGGACTTTGGTTCAGGCCCTCATCTGCCCCACCCCTCACCTGAATTTGTGACCATTTGGGTCACTGCCTGTTGGTTGGCTCTTTGTGGCACCTCTCAGGGAATCTGAACTTGGCAAGGAAGGCACACTGGGCTGCCTGGACCCCCGTCCACCCAGCCCAGCCTCTGCCTAGGTCTCTACATGGCAGCCTCCTGGTCCTGCTCCGGTCCCGCAGACTGAGGTCCCTCCTGGTGGCCTTCGAGGCCCCACTCCCTCTGGGCGCCACGGCTTTCTTGCTTCTCCTTGGACCCCTCCCCAGGACACCCCTATCTCTGTGCCTGTTGCACCCCCCCGGGGCCTCATGGCATGCTGGGGGGCAGGGGCTGGATGCAGCGGCTGCTATGGGTCTGGCCCGAGACAGGTCAGGGCAGTGTTCCCTGTGGGGAGTGCGGGAAGGGGCACCCTTTCACCCTGCAGCTGCCCCGGAGCCTGCTCTGGCCAGGGAGCACCCTCACCAGGGAGCACCTGCTCTGACCAGGGAGCACCTTGACCAGAGAGCACCCGCTCTCACCATGGAGCCCCTTGACCAGGGAGCACCCTCACCAGGGAGCATCGGCTCTGACCAGGGAGCACCCTCACCAGGGAGCATCGGCTCTGACCAGGGAGCACCCTCACCAGGGAGCATCGGCTCTGACCAGGGAGCATTCTGACCAGGGAGAACCTTGACCAGAGAACACCTGCTCTGACCAGGGAGCACCCACCAGGGAGCACCTTGACCAGGGAGCACCACTCTGACCAGGGAGCATCCACTCTGACCAGGGAGCATCTTGACCAGAGAGCACCTGCTCTGACCAGGGAGCATCGGCTCTGACCAGGGAGCACCCTTACCAGGGAGCATCCACTCTGACCAGGGAGCACCTGCTCTGACCAGGGAGCACCTTGACCAGGGAGAATCCGCTCCGACCAGGGAGCACCCACTCTGACTAGAGAGCACTCTGATCAGGGAGCACTCTGACCAGGGAGCACCCGCTCTGACCAGGGAGCAGTCGTTCTGACCAGGGAGCACCCGCTCTGACCAGGGAGCATCCACCTCCCCGAAGTCACAAGGTGTGTGGCTGTCGAGGGCTCTGGCGGTTTGGCTGGCCTTCAGGGCCACGGCGGGGATCCCAACTGGGTGCTCAGGGGCCTGCGCAGATGGAGAAAGATGGGCTCCCTGGAACGGGAGCTCAGGGACACCCGGGGAAGAGGATCAGCAGGAGCACGGAGCCGAGACCTCACTGGGGTGAGAGCGGGGCTAGGTGGGCCCTGGGCTCTCTGCTTCCTGGGAGCAGGCAGGACAACCAGACAGGACTGGGACCCTGCGTACACACACCTTTCAGTCAACCCAAACTCTTTCCCAGAGAAGTGCTGGTGGCAGAGCCCGCTTCTGAGTGCAGTGGGTGGGATTCACTTTATCCCTACGGTAGGAACATATGTGAATCTTGTGTTGTTTGGATTTAAACATTGAAATGTCGTCTGTTTACTTTATATTTGATAATAAAGTGTTGGCGAGGGGCCCCCAGGGTCGTTATTGTTTGGGGAGTGGGTCGAGGAGGGAGCAGTGTGCGCTGGCCGGGTCTGGAGGGGAGATCTCAGGGCGGGGCCCAGCGTGGTGGGACAGGCTGCGTGGCGCGAGCTCAGCGCCCACAGCGACCGCTGCAGTCCCAGAGGCTACATCCACCACCTGGAACCTGATTTACACAAGAGCCGTTGGTGGTGCTGGAAGCGTCAGCCGGTGGACGGTCGGGGCTCCGGCAACCCCCACGAGTCTCTCACTCACCAGGAGGGGGACAGGGTGCCTCCACCTCTTTGCTGGGGGGTCCCTGAAGGTGCCGCAAGAAGGACCAACATGTCTGTGGTCTCCCACACATGTCAGACGCGCCCACCCGGCACGCGCCTGCCCACCTGGCTAGGACCCCTCAAGGACGCCGGGGCCGTGCACAACAGTGAAAACAAACAAGTGGGACTACACCAAACTCAAAAGCTGCACGCAGCAAAGAAAACCATCAACACAATGGAAAGGCAACCTACAGGATGGGAGGAAATATTGGTAAATCATTTATCTGATAAAGGGTTAATATCCCAAACATGTAAAGAGCTCATATAACTCAAGAACAAAAAACCCCAAATCATCTGATAAAGAATGCACAGAGGACCTGAACAGACATTTCTCCAAAGAAGGCATCCAGATGGCCAACAGACACGTGGAAAGATGCTCAACATCACTGATCGTCAGGGAAAAGCAAATGGAAACCACACGAGATACCACCTCACTCCTGTCAGGATGGCTAGAATCAAAAAGACAAGAAACAACAAGATTGGTGAGGACGTGCAGAAAAAGGCACCCTCGTGCACTGGTGGTGGGAATGCAAGCTGGTGCAGCCACCGTGGAAAGGGTCCTCAAAAAGTTAAAAATAGAGCTACCCTAAGATCCATCATTTGCACTACTGCGTATTTACCCAAAGAGAACAAAAACACAAATTCGAAAAAAGCTATGTGCACTCCTGTGTTTACTGCGGCATTATCAACAAGAGCCAAGATACGGAAGCAGCCCAAGTGTCCGTCCAGAAATGAATGGCTAAGGAAGGTGTGGTGTCTACACACAATGGGATATTGCTCAGCCCTAAAAAGAATGAAATCTTGCCACATTTATGACAACACGGTGGACGAGGAAGGTATTATGCTAAGTGAAGTAAGTCGGTCAGAGAAAGACAAATGCTGTGTGATCTCATTCACATGTGGAATCTAAAAACAAAAACCAAATTAACTAAGAACTGAGCTCCTGGATACAGGGAGCAGATTAGTGGTCGCCTGAGGTGGGGGCGTCGGCAGAATGAATGAAAGGCTCAGGAGGCACGAACCTGCAGTTATAAAATGAGTAAGTCATGGGGATGTGATGTACGGCATGGCGACTGCAGCTAATAACCCTCTATCGCGTATTTGAAAGTAGCTAGAAGAGTGGATGATGAAAGTTCTCATTATAAGAAGAAAATTTTGTGACTATGTGTGGTGACATGTGTTAACTGTTTTGCAATACATACAAATAGCGAATCATTTCATTGTATACCTAAAACTAATATAATGCTGTCAATTATACCTCAATAAAAATATTCCCAATTCTAAGTTTTCCATATCGAAAATAAAATTAAGATTTGATTTAAAAAAGGAAAAAAAAAAAAAAAAGAACCAGAATGCCAGGGGTGGTGACAGAGAGAGCTGGGGTCTGGCCAGAGTCCGAAGAAGCCGAGGACAGTGACATCCAACGAGGCAGGCGGCCCTTGACTTGGCTCCCATCAGGGAAAGATAATCCAGCCAGAGGGCTGGACTGGGATGCGGGAGCATCTGAACGAAGGGCCTGGGTCAAAGCTACCATCCTGGGAGGAGAGCCTCTGGAGTATTAGCAGAGAGGTCTGACCTCTGTGAGTGAGGTGAGCTGAACCGTGCCCCCCAGTGCATGTGCTGGAACCCTAAGCCTCAGCACACTGCAGAATGTGACCTTATTTGGAAATAGGGTAGGGGTGCCTGGCTGACTCCCTTGGTAGAGCTTGTGACTCTTGATCTCAGTGTCTTGAGTTCAAGACCCACACTGGGTGTGGAGACCACTTAAAAAAAAAAAAAAGGAAACAGGGTCATTGCAGACCTAATTACTTAAGATAAGCTGGAGCCCATGGGTCTCTAATGCAACATGGCTGGTGTCCTTACAGGAAGGGAGAAATTTGGACAGCAACATATGAGGAGAGCGCCATGTGACGCTGGAGCAGAGATGGGGTGATGCATCCACAAGCTGAGAAGCCCCAAGGGTTGCCAGCAAACACCAAATGCTGGGAGAGCCTGGAAGGGACCCTCCCTCACAGCCTCAGTGGGAACCAGCCCTGCGCACACCTGGCCTCGGACTTCCCGCCTCCAGAAATGCCAGACCACAGCCTTCAGGTGCTGAGCCTCCCGGGGGCTGGTATTTGTTCCGGCAGCCCCATCAAATCAATACAGAAGCAAACGTGCCAATATTGTCAACTGACGACCCGGGGTAAATGGTGTTCACGGCTGTGTTCTTGTGACTTTCCTTTATATTTCAGACATTTTTCAAAATTTAAGTTGGAAAAATAACTAAAACAAATCTGCCTTCAAAAGACATATCCTGGGCTGTACGGATGGTGTTTAGAATTGATCGGATTGAGTTCTCAGTGCAAGGCAGGTAGGGTCCCGGCCGCAAGGGAGAGCACCCGTGCTCAGTGAGAGGAGATGACCTGCCAGAGATCTCGTCAACCATGCCTTTGTTTGAACTCAAGCCTGTCCCCTTCCACTATTCCTTACTCTCGTTCACTAGGATCGGGGTCGGCCAACTACTGGGTTTGAGATAGTGCATAAAATGCAAGAGAAACCTGTACGTAAGGAGGTATGGGGGGAGACATCCACGGGAATGACCAAAATCCTAAGTACAGCGAATAAATTAGGAAGGGAGAGAGATGGCTCGAACCAAACGTCCCCACAGCCGGGAGCTGAGTCTGCTGCTTTGAAGAGCAGGAGGACAACCCAACATATGAAATCGTCAAGGTGCAGTGCTCAGAGCTGACATGGGGAAACTGAGGCATGTTGCGCCACAAGCAGGTGCCTCTGACTCTGGGGAGCGGTTGCAGAATCCTGTTCTTACCTTCCCCTGCTTTGGGAAGGGGTCCTAGTGAGTCGTGGGCCACCAGGGGTGAGTCAGGCCCCCCTTTATTGCTCGGTTCCCCCTCCTGGGGTGATACCCACACCTCTGCCTCTGTGTCTGGGCTCCCCCGCAAGGCCCCCCCCCCCCCCGTCCCAGGCCACCTTTTGGCTTCATGCCCTTGGACCACCGACCTCTGCTCTGAGTTTCCTCCATTGATCCTGAGAGCCGCCTACAGGCCTTCCTGGAGAGCCAGGCCAGGCTGGTGCACCCGCCATTGCCCAGCAGGCCCGGGAAGGGCACCAAGACTCCAGGATGGGCAGCCCCAGTGGGGACCTTGTCGTGGTCCTTCTGGGGGCCGTCACACCTCCCAACCAAGCAAGGTCCAGAGGAAAGACCCTGGGCCCATCCCAGGGACCCACCTTCCCGGTGTTGCCGTCTGTGCAGTAGCCGAGGACAAGGGCAGCTGGGCCCCCCTCCCCGACCATCGGGCTTCGACCAAGGGCCTCCAGGGCCTGCCCGGTGGTAGACAACCTGTGCAAGGGGGCTAGGGGCCAGGGCCCCCTTGCCGGAACCCGCCATGGATGCTCGCAGCCATACCCAGGCACTATACACCCAAGATTCTCTCTCGACCAGAGACCCCAGGCCCACAGCAGGTGGGTTGGAGAGGTGAACAGTCTCCACTTGAATGGTTACACTTCTGATATAATTAGAGAAATGTCTCTTGGCCATCCAGCCTGGGACCTTGCAGAGACAGTCAGTCCCCTGGGGGGCTGGTCCCATCCCCAGGAAAATATGAGGCATCTGGGCTGAGGTTTGGGGCTCTAGTCAGCCCAGCCCTATCATCCTACAGGAGGGCAAGCCTGTCCCACGGGGCCCTGAGGAACAGCTGAGACATTCCTGCCTGCTCAGAGGCAAGGCCTGGACTCACCACCAAGTAAGGTGGGCAGGCAAGAAGCTGGAGCCCAGAGACGGCACTTCACCTGCCCAAGCCACACAGCGCCCAGGCCTGGCCCCAGCACAGCCCCCTCCCTACCTATCTGCCAGGGACCAAGAGCGAGAAGTCTTTCCCTGAGACCTAACCCTGTGCCACCCAGCCCAGACCGACGTACCTAGGAGCCATCCTGGCCACCAGCCCAGCTGCAGCATGGCCCAGATGAGTGGCCAAGGCGCCCATGGGGTCCCCATGCCCAGAGCGCCTGCCAGCCTCCCCTGCCAGTTTCCTCCACTGCTCTAGCAGCGGTGTGAGCGGAAAGGAAACTGCCCCGGGTTAGGACGGGGGACACGCCCTAGCCCCGCCCCCTCTTCCTCCTCCTCTTCCTGCACGTGGGTGGGGATTGGAGGAAGCCTGAGCGAGACTAGGGGACCGAGGAAGAGATGGGGGAGATGGAGTAGGGGAGGGGGGAGGGGGGATGGGCGAGAGCGAGAAATACTGAGGGTAGAGACACACAGAGAGAGGCGGAGGCCGGGGAGGAGGGGGAGGCCCAGCCGCCCCTCCTCCACTGTGGGGTCTCTCCATCGGAGCGACTTGTCCCTTTATTTGCTGTTGCTTCTTTCCCTTTCTGCTGAGGCTGATGAGGGATACTGGGCCCTCTGCCCTCCCCTCCCCCAGCCATCGTCCTGCCCTTGGGAGGTGGATCGTCTGGGTTCAGGCCCCTGGGCCTGCAGTGAGGGGTGGGCTCAACCCCATGCCCACCTTGTCTCCTTTTGAGGGGTTGAACCCACCACACTCTGCCACTACTGGGGAGGGTGGGGGCACAGCCACTGCCAAGGGTGCGCCCCTCCCCCCAGGACTGCAAGGCCACCACACTGGGGCAGCTGAGGGTCTGCCTGAGCCCGGGGGCTGCGCCCTGGTAATTCCCGGGTAATTCCGGTAGGCCTAGTGAGATCCCTCTCCTCCAGCCCTGCCCCAGGCCTTGGAGTGCCCTGTCCCTGGGGGGGGGAGGGGAGGGGCTGCTGCAGGAGGTCTGGCACCTCCCCTCCCCTCACCTCCAGCTTCAGGGGGGCCACCTGCTGGGCCTCCTGAGGACACCCAGTGCTGGGGGTTTAACCTGCAGCGCCAACCCCTCTTCCCCCCCCCCCCGCGCCTCCCCTCGCTCCCCCCAACCCGCGCCCCTGGCGCTGGCTAAGCCCGGCCCGCGGGGGCGGGGGCGGTCGTGGCCCGGGGTGTCCAGGACGCCGGGCTCGCTGCGCAGCGTATGTTGGGCTGCGCGGTGGTGGTGGGGGGCGCGGGGGGTTTGCTGTCAGCGGTTCTGGGGGATGAATGGAAAGCGGTAGAGGAAACTGCTGACACCCGCAGCCCCGAGCCCCGTGCGTGGGTCTCGCAGCCCGAGTAGCAGCCCGACAGCTGGCGCCGCCCCGGCCCCATTCACGCTTGGGCTCGGCTGCCGAGGGAAAACATTAAAGAAAACTGAAACGGTGGAAAAAGAGCATCAAAGATGGTGTCTGCAGGCGAGGGCGAGCAAAGGAAGCTTCGGCGGTGAGCGCAGGGCCACTCCCCGAGCCCCGCGCGGCCGCGTGGGCGGCTGGCGGGCGGGGCGCGCGGCCTCGTGGGCTCCGGGGTGCGGGCACGGCCGGCCTGCGGGGGCGCCCCTCCCGGACAGGTGTCCCCTGGCCCGCCCGCCCTCGTGGCTTCCCCTCCGCCGTTAGGCGCGGGGTCCGGGGCTCGGGACGTGGGTCAGGTCAGGTTTGGGGCTGCCAGGCACCAGGAAGGCTCGGACCCCGTGGGCACCTGCCCCTGGCGCCCTGCACTTTGGAGCCTGAGGCTCTGCGCTGGGGGTCACGCCCTCGGAGGCCTGGGGCTGGAGGGGCCGGTGGCGCAGTCTGGGGGGTGTGCTCTGGGATGGGAGACAGCGTCAGATCCCTGGCCACCTCCCACCCCCCAGCCACACCAGCTGTGATTCCATCTGCAAGAGCTTGGATGAATGTCCAGAGATGCCCGCCAGAGAATGTGGGGATGCACTGTCCCCTTCCTTGCCCACCACCCTGTTGCTTCCTTTCTCCTCCCTCCAACCTCTCCCTTGGGGTGGTGGGATATGTGCAGGGCCCACTCAAGAGGCTGAAAGGGGCATTTGCACCCTGAGTATCGGGTCGGCAGGCCGATATGGAGGCACAGGAGGGCACAGAGATTGTGCAGGCCGGAGAGGGAGGGGGACACAGCCCCGAGCAGCCTCACACTCCACCCTGGGGTGGCAGGACCAGCTGCTGATGGGATCAGAGCCTGGGGAGGAGGCTAGGACAGGTGGGAGAGGGGGCAGGAGTCCCAGGGACTGCTGGGGTGCTGTACTCCCAAGGGGAGCTCCCCACCCCTTGTCAGCACACTTTCCCCCAAACACATACTCTTCCTACCACACTGTCCCCCCAAAACACACATGTCCCCCCAAGACACACTGTCCCCATCACACACACTGTCCCCCAAGACACACTGCCCCCACTGCTTGGTGTTCAAGCCACACGCTGTCCGCATCACACACACTGTCCCCTTCCCTCACCATCTTTCATTAGGGACAGGACAGGCTCCCTGGCTGGAGGGAAGGGCAAGGTCAGGGTCCCGTCTGCCCCTGCCTGTGCCCCCCCGCTGGCTAGCCCTCTCCTCCCTGCCCTGTGTCCTGGCTTCACCCCTTCGGGTTTGGGGGGTCCCAGCCTGGGGTTTTCCGTCCCTGTCCCCACCTGTAACCAGGCATCAGGGACAACCCAGGACCCCCAGCTCATGGGATCTTTGATGAAGAAGGATGTTGCGTGTGGTCACTGAGGTAACTAGGTTCTCTCGGAGTCTCGGAAACAGGAGAGAGCCGGCCCTTCACACGTGGCTGGGGTTCTTTCGGTAACGTGTTGCACAGCCGGCACTGATATCTCAACCAGGATGCTGACACGGGTGCCGTCCCCTGCGCACAGTCAGGGTTCCCGTGTGGGGTTATGGTGTGTGTTGTGTGGCCAGTGCCCGCTCTGGGGCGACCCTGCGCTCCGCACACAGGAGTCCCCGCCCCTCCCTCCCGTCCACTCAGGTCTGCGCACCGCCACGCCGTGGGTGATCTGGTGTGTGGCCTGTTGGGCTGGGTTCCCTGCGGCACGACCCTGTCCTCCTTCCTGCACTGCACGCGTGCGTGTCTCCGGAGGGCTCCTTTTTGTGCCCGCACAGTGCTCTGTGCGGGCTGAGCACAGCTGGGCCCTTCTGGGCTGAGGCCTGTGATGGGGCGGAGACGCTCAGGGAGTCTGTGAGCTGCCGACTCTGTCCCATGAGGGCTGCCTGTCCTGCGTGCTCCGCGCCGTGGGCCCGTGGGCCCGTGGGCCCGTGTTCCTGTCCTGGCTGTGCGCTGCCTGGGGAAGCCTGCCACCAGCTACTGAGGCCGTTCAGGAGGCCCCGAGGGTGGAGGGTCATTTGCTAGATGGATGCCGCCCTCCCTCCCAAAGCAGGGTCTGGTTCTCCGGGCGGGAGAAGCTTCCTGCCTGGGACGTCCCACCCTCCCGAGAAGCGAGTCTGGTTTCCAAGGTGCCAGGCGGGCAGTGACTGTGACGCCAAGCAAGGGTGTGCGGGCGGGCGGGGGAGCCGGAACATGAGCCAGCACGATGGAAAGTGGGGGAGAGGGGGATTCCCCCTGCGCTTTCCCGAGGCAGCAGCCCAGTCACAGGGAAGTTTCCATTTATGGTAAAACACAGGAAGCAGAAGGATCATCCCGAAACTGCCTCTGAGCTGGCAGGGAGGTGATGTCACCCGGCCTGGACCGACTGTGGCCCCGGGAGGTGGCAGCAGGTTCGCAGCTATTTCTGAGGTCGGAACAGGAAATGGTTAATAGTGTTTGCAAATAAAAACTTTTTGTTCTATCCTGTTTTTGAAGCATTTCCCAGAAGTTAAAAAAGAGCACCCAAATTACCTGCCCAATTTAAGAACCCGATTTTAAAAATTTGAACAAAATATGACACCATTTGTTATACACAAGAATAAAGATGGTTGGGTTGTTTGTTTGCTAAGGTGGCAGAATCACAAAAACACGGGAATTCCCAACTCACCTTGCTCCTTACTCCAACTTTCTACAATGCTGTTGTTTGAACGTGATCTTGCACTTTAAGTTTCCACGTGTGTTTGTGTGTACACGTGGATGTGTCTGTGTGTTCGCGTGCGTGTGCTCGCATGGGTGTGTGAGACGCGCGTCATGTCTGATCTCTTGCCGTGGACACCGCTCGGCCTGCCTGCTGGCTGGTCAGCCAGGTGGCGCCGCTGCAGCCCCCGCGGGCTGGGACGCCGGCCACCTGACCCCGGGACTGCCGCTCTCCACACGGCGGACGTGGCCGAGGGAGGGTCTCCCGCCCTGCTCTGCGCACACCTGCTTATTTCGATGGAGACATGAAACCAAACTGTCCACCAGCGTCAGGAAATGGAACTGTCAAACCAAGCTGTTAGTAGCCAGTTATTTTTTTATCCTTCACAAAATTGCCGTGTGGCCAGTTAGTTATGCTTTTACAGGGGAACGTGCTTACGGCCAAGATATCCACGACCAAAGGGCCAGCCACCCGGGTCCTGCCTCATTGGCCCTGCGGTCCCTGGTCTGTCCCTTTGTGGCCCAAGGCCGGTCTCTGTGGTTCTCACTGCTCCTTCCAGGCTGAGCCCCCACGCCACCAGGGCTTGGCAGACATGACTGGCCCCCTGCTCGGCAGCAGCTCGGTGGACAGCAGAGCGAGGAACTTGGGGAGGTGGTGGGAAGACCCCCTGGGACAGGACGCTGGACGAGGGGCTGCCGGTGTGCAGATGCTGCTGTCCTGGCTGCCGACTCCAGGGCCCCTGCCCGCCGGCAGCTCAGAGACACCCACCGTGCCTGCATGCTGGGGGCTGGGCCTGGGGTCTGCCCAGCTGCCCTGTGTCCCTGGAGCCGAGGTTTGGGGGAGGGCAGGGGTGAACCCGGCATCATTATTTCTACCCGATTTTCTCTCCTTGTCTGTCTGTCTCTCTCAACTCCTCTCCTTCCAGACACACAGGGTGGGGTCCATTCAGCTAGCTGGCCTTGCTGGAGCTGGACCCTGGGATGCCCTCCCTCTCCCAGCCTGGTCTCCTGCTTTGACTCCTTTGCTGTGCTGTCCTGTCCCAAAGTTGGCACTTCTCTGGTCCAGCATGGCATGGAGCGGCTTTGGGGGAACCTGCCCAGGCCACGCCCAGGCCAAGAGGGGGACAGAGGCTCTGAGCATCGTCACCTGCAGGAGATGGTCCTCATGGCTCATCAGGGCTGCCAGAAGGTCTGCTTTCAAATGCTCCACCTGGAGGCCACCCAGTGGTGAGGGCTGACCTCTGCCTTCCAGCCACCTTCTCCAAAAGGTGAACTCAAGAGGTTGAGTGCCAGGCAGGTCGGTGTAAGCCAAAAGGAGAGTGTTCGTGGGGGACAGGAGAGCGCTGTCTCCGTGAGGTGGGGCAGTAGCATTGAAACGGTACCTGGTTGCCCCTGACATCACTCTCCGTCCCGAGCCCAACCCATTCTGGAGTCATTGATGCGTCGGGGAGGCTGGTCACAGAGTGGTGGGCAGAAGGTGGAGGACAGAGCAGGGGCGGAAGGGATTGCTAGCAAGCCTCATTCCTAGAGTCCATGTCGGAGGGACCCGCATCCATGCATGTGGACCACACACAGCTGACCAGCTTGGGCGTCGGCGGAGCATTGTGCGTGTTCTGCCTCATCTGTCACCCCTCTGGTAAAGAAGCCAACTGACTTGTTAGCTGACCGTGTGAGCAGCTTTTGCAGAGAGCTTGGTTTAGGGGCTTGGGGGGATGGATAAACAGGCGTGGGAAGAGGCACGTGGAGGCTGGCTTCCCTTGGGTCTGCCACCTATGCCTTTCTAGCAGTCTCCTGGGAGAGGTATAAGGAAGTTCCTGAACCAAATAGATTGTTTCTGGGTGGTGGTGGTCAGTCGTGATACCAAGACTCTTCCCTAAACTCAGAGGCAGGTTGTGGTTTCTAGAGCGGAGGAGGCTGTGGGGTGGGCCGGATGGACGGGGCTGTGGTACAGCGCTGGGGCGGAGCGTGGGCTCCCACGCCCAGCATGGTGTGGAAGCAGTCAGGGCGCTGGGTCCAGAGAGGCCACGTGGAGAGGAAAAGCCCTGTGGGGACCTCCGCACAGCCTCCAGGCTACAGCCATTCCCTCGGACCCCGGCTGGCCACGTGACCAGGACCACACGCATGCCCACCTACACACAATGGCCCTAGACCAACCAGCAAAACCCAGGACCTTAGGCACAGCCCAGCATATCAGTTAGAAGTGCTGCAATCGGCTGTCTGATGAGCCAGAAAACCCAGAGCACAGGGCCTTATGATAATAGTGGGAGCTGGATGTTTACTTCTTTCTTGAACAACGAATCCAGAGGTAGGCGATCCTGAGGTGGTACAGTGACCCCGACTGTCATCAAGGGTCCAAAGTCTTGCCTTTCTGCTTCCTCCACACATGGCTTCCATCTGCAAGTTCACCTCATGGTCCAAGGGGGCTGCAGGAGTGCCAGTCATCACGTCTGCATCAACAAACAGACGCAGGGGACAGTGCAGGGGGGGCGTGGGTCTTCCCCAGCTAGCTGGTCCCGCAGGATGGAGCCTTCCCAGGAGCACATCCCAATAATTTCCTCTCCTATCCGTGAGCACGCTTTGCTGCAAGGCAGACAGATGGTGCATATAGCTGAGAGAGCCAAAAACAAGTTTCAGAAAAATGCAAAATATGAAAAGGACTTCCACTCACTTGCCAGGATTAGCTGCAGACTGGACAAAGATGAGCAGAGAATTCGTCAGCCGTTGAGAAAGAAGGATCATTCTGCGCGCAGGTCAGAGAGACAGTGGTGGAGGCACTGAGGGTGAGTGAGGGGTTTTGGGCACCACAGGGGATGAGGCCGGTGCTGGGCAGAGCGTTTGCTCTACCCTCTGAAAGTGTGGGCTCCCTTCACACGTTGGAGCTTCTGGGGCCACCACCAAAGCAGCAGGACCAGAGTGCAGCATCTGAAGCCCTAGAGGGGCAGTGAAAGATGAAACAGTGACCCTGCCAGGATGCAGGGGGACGGGGACATGGGAACAGGTGGATGGTCCTCCAGAGCAGGGGAGGCTCAGGCGGCCAGAAAGGCCCAGGGAGCCCAGCTCCTGGGAGGCATGAAAGCGGTAGTTCTGAAGCCTGAGGATGGTTGTCCAGCAGGCGCATGACCCTCGTCTGGGGCACACAGCAGCCCGGCCCGTGCGTGAGAGGCGGCTGGTTGCAGCAATGCTTCTGTCCGCCCACGGGGAGGGTGGGAGCCCAGACTCACACACACAAAATGTGTCCTGCATGATTCTGTGTGCATAAAGCCCAAAGCAGCAAAGGGGAATGTCTCTGGTTGTGGAGCCCTAAGGGGTCCCGGCCAGGCTGACCGTACCTCTGCAAGGGAGGAGCCCACGGTGGGAGCATGGTGGGGGGCTGCCCTTCAGGTGCCCAGCGAGGCTTTACGGTAACCGTGATGCTCTGCGCTATGTTTTAGCCGTTGTTTATGTAAATGTTCTACATTCTAGCCAATGTGAAGTTTGAGAAAAAACCATGGGGAACTTTGCAAGGACCCATATTCAGGGCACTTCCTCCCGGTCTCGTTTCCAATGGTAAAGAAGGAGCACCCAGCAGCCGGGATGGAGGCCGGGCAGCAGATGCAGCTCCGCTGCGGGCTGCAAACACGGCAGACGCTTACACGCGGACGAGTGGGCAACACTGTCCGAGGCATGTCGTGGGCTAAGGAGGCCACGTTGAGTGCGATTTCCTGCTTGTGAGAAACAATCCGAAGATTTACACATGCCTGTGCGTGTGGGGCCATGTGCGGACGTCAGCACCACAGTGATGATTATGTACCAGTTTATTTTCTGTTTGTTTCCTTTGTATTTATCTGTTTGTTTCTCATTTTTCCTAAAATGAAAATGTATCGCTTGCGTAACAAGAAAACATTCGAGGGGATGAGAAAAAAAGGCCTGCTTCTCATTTCCCGGAGCCGACCCTGGTTGCCGTGGAGACTGGACGGTTGTCAAGGCGGTGATTGGCTGCTGAGGACGCAGGATGTGGGATCCCAGGCTTCCTTGGAGCGGCAGCTGGCGCAGCTTCCAGACCGCACTGCGGAGCCCAGCGCCAGCATGGATGGGGTGGACGTGTGGGCCAGCACCCTGGCCCAGCTGATGGCCAAGAGGAAGCCCCAGGACACCTGGGAGCTGGTCCCTGAGGAGAACCTGGCCTCCGGGCACATGGAGGGTGGCGGTTTTCAGTACCGGCTGAGGGGGCTTTCCAGGTGCGCTGTGGGGGGGCGGTGCCCGCTGTGGGGTGCTGGGCAGGGAGGGACTGAAGCTGCATAAGCACCGGCCTGGGACGCCCTGAGTCCGGAGGCCGGGCTGGTGCAGTACGGCCCACGTGGGCCCGGAGGGGGGCACGCATCCCGCCGGCTCTTGGCCTCCAACAGGTAGGTGGACCAGGCATTCATGCTCCCTTCCGGGAGGTGGGGGGCTGGGAAGCCACCTCTGTTCAGTCCCTCGGTGCCGGCCATCCCCGTCAGGGGCCCCGGCAGAAGCGGGGGCAGGGTGGATGCTGGGGGGTGACGCGGCCACCCACGCGGGAGAGGCTTGTCTGTTCACGGCGGCACCTCCTGGTTTCCATGGCAGCGCTGATGGCCAGAGCAGGGGATGGGCAGGTGCCTGTGCTCACGACCCACCCTGCACAGGGGCCTGAAGGGAGGGAGGCTGCGTCGTGCCCGAGGGGGGCACAGGCCCAGAGGGGGGCGCTGTGTCTGGGCTGGGCTGCCGGCCAAGCAGGGGCCGGGTTGGGAGCCCCAGTGTCGTGGGGGTCACCATGTGAGCCCCGTTCCTCATTGTCACGGGGACAGCCCCAGGGATGGGCCAGGCCTGTGGGGACCCCACCCAGCCAGGCGTGCCCTGCCCTGCCCTGCCCTGCAGGGGCCCATGGGGAGGGGGGTCGGCGGGGGAGGGGGCTTCACGCACAGGTCACCACGGGGACTCTGTGGGCAGCCACCCTTTGACACGGATGCCACAGCCCCCACCCAGTGTCTGAAACCCCTGGGGCCAGGTGTTTAGTGGGACGCTGGCTTTCCCAGGTGTTGGGAGAATCAGCCCTCGGCGTGTCTGAGAAGCACCTGTTCCCACGGCCAAGCTGGAGAACTGCCTTCGGTGGCAGAGGGTCACAAACACTGTTCCCTTGCCTTTCAGCTTTCATACAGCTAAAAATGCCGGGGAGTGGGGGGGTCACAAGGCACTGTCCCTCGTTCTGCACACAGCAGCCCCTGGCCACAGCTGGCCACATTGAAATGGAGTTGAAAGTCCAGCCCCCAGGGCACTAGCTGTGTCCAGCCCCACCTGTGGCTGCAGGCTGCTGGCTGGGCCGCAAGGACGGAGCCCATCCTCACCATCGCGGAAAGTCCCGTGGGACGGTGCTGCCTGGGAGATGCTGGGCAGGTTTCCCACGTGCACGTGCCTGCGGTCGCTTGTCCGTGACCTAAGGGTCTTGGAGAGAGGGCCCCCCTGCCGGCCCTGGGGCACACGGCCGCAGAGGCCCCAGACCGGCACCTTCTTCAGCCCCCGTGGTGCTCGGCCAGCTTGCTCACGTGTTTGGAGCCAGAGCGGACCCGTGGAAGGGGCTCACTCGCCATCGTCCTGGGAGCCCCCAGCCCCTCTGGGCTCTCCCCGCCTTCTGTGTCCCGAGACTCCCCCGCCCCTCCATCTCACCTTCTCTCCACGGGGATGGGGCTCTTCCTTCCAGGACCTCCCCTCGCTTCTCCGCTGGGACCTCACCCAGCCAGGCGTGCCCTGCCCTGCAGGGGCCTGCGGGGAGGGGGGGCGGCGGGGGAAGGGGCCTCCCGTGGGGGAGCCAGGCTCTTCCCCGCAGGGCTGCCTTTGGCTCTTGGTGACATGTCCTCAGGGCAGAAAAGCAGCAGGGCAGTGAACTCCCACAGTGTCAAGCCAGGCTCTGAGCCAAACCGGTGAAAAGGCATTTGTTTTTCAGCTTTCCAGATTATGCGCAGGCAAGGGGCGCACCCCTGTGGAAGGGGTCTCGGGGTCCGGAGCTTGTGCTGGGCCGGCCTCCAAGCTGGCGGGGGACCAGGGCCGTCCCCCTCCCCTGCACTCACTGCCACCTCTGTCCTCCCCACCCCCAGGCTCCAGTGTGGCCGCTGCCAGTGGGGCTGGTCCTCGGCCCACGTGCACATTCTCTTCCACACATGCTTGGACGAGGGCAGCCGCCTGGGGCTGGTGAAGATGCGCATCTGGGGGCAACAGTGCAGGCTGTGCCCGCCGGGCGTCCAGGGACATTGCCAGGTGAGCCTTCTGAATGTCCGGCTCTTCCTCAACAAGCTAGTCCTGTTCATCCTGCAGAAGTGCTATGGCGAGAGCCTCAGCTCAGACCAGTGCCCCGAGATCTGCTTTGGTGAGCGCTGCGAGGCCTGCGACCTGGGCGTCTGCTTCTTCCAGAAGCCCCCAGACCCAGCCTGGGGGCCCGAGGTCAAGAGCCCCACCACCATCAAGGGCAGGTACACCTTGTACGGAGGCGGCGGCTTGGCCACCACTGCCACTGGCAAGCAGCTGCTCACCCTTGGCAGTGGGCCCGTGGTCGACCGCGCCAGGGGCTACACCCCCAACTCCATCACCATCCCCCTCTCCGTGGCCGACTTCATCAGGAACCCGATTTCTGAGAGCAGCAACTTTTTCAGCCAGGATGATGACATCGTCACCGTCCCCTTCTCCCTTGTGGATGTGGGGAGGGACAAGGGGCCTGCCGCCGGGGCCAAGGGCCGTGTCAGCCCAGGGCCGGGCTCCCTCCCAGCGGCTGACCCTGGCGGGCCCCTTGTCATCGGCAAGGGCTCCATCCACCTGCCGGCCAGTTCCACAGCCACGCCCAAGGGCAGAGGCCTCCTGGTGAACATCAAATGCCCCATCTTCCATGGCCGAGGCCTACTCATCAGCAGCATCAAGCCCTTCGAGCTGAAAGGCTTCATCTTCAAAGGCCGGGGCTCCGTCCCCAGCTCCGCCGGAAATGGCCCACTGCCGGTGTCCTACATCATTGGCCTCACGGATGACGGAGAGGGCTCCATCACCTTCCCCTCGTCTTTGGCGAACATCATCAGAGACGACTCCTTCCCCAACATCGACGGCTCCGTCACCTTCCCCTTCATCTTCACTGATGAAGACAAAGGCAAGAATGCTTCTGCCAACACCACCCAAGGCAAAGAGAAGGGTGGCGGTGATGGCCCTGCCCCTGCTGGCCGTGAGCCCCTTCCAGGGACCCGCGCCCATAGACCCGTCACCATGAGCGAGGGCTCCATCACCATCCCCTTCTCCGTCTTCGACATCATAAAGTACAAGGGCCCCGGCTCCATCGCCAGTGGCCGCCGGAGCGGTGGCCTGGCCACACAGGGCTGTGACAAGAAGAGGGGGCCGCCGAGGGCCGGGCTCAGCAGGGAGGAGGACTTCTGCTGGGATGACGACTGCTGCGCACCGCGTTTTGACCCCTACGAAGAAGTGTGGATCTGGGTTTCCATGACCGTCTGCATCCTCTGGATCATGTACCTGTACAAGGTCAGCCCCTGACGGCCGGTGCAAGTCCTGACGCCTCCCGGCGGGGTCCCCCCATGCCCCTCCAGCAGGGCCGCCCAGGCAGCCGAGCCGTGGGACCCCCTGCCCCTGCCCGCACCCTAGGCCCCCAGGCCACCCCTGCCTGCCCTCCCTGAGCCGAGTGTGGGCCCTCAGCCTTCTCCTCCACCCCCTGCTTCCGTGTGTGTAGTCTCTTGATGTGAGTTGTGGCTTCATGGATGTCCACACCGTGATTATCTGCCAAGCTGCCCACGCGTGATCCAGGCGCTTGTCCGTGTGAGTGTTACAGTCCAATAAAATAAAAGCGAAAAGGAAAAAACCCACACGGTGTGCTTGGGCCGCGAGGAAGCCAGCCCCCAGGACAAGGTTTTGAGGTGGGAGGGTGTGTTGGGCACGTCACTGTCCCCCAGCAGTCCCGGTGGGGAGTGGCTTCTTCCTCTGATGGCTTCTGGATTCCTGGCCAGGGGTGACGGGACAGGATGCTCAGGCCAACCAACCTGTGCCTTCTCAGCACATGGCTGCCCGCTACGCATCTGCCACATTCCGTGGGCACCCATGGGATTTTCCTGGGTGTGCCCCCGACTCTGGGGAAAGATGAAAACCCCCCTTGAGGCTTGGTTGGTGACCCCCCGCAGCATGCGTCTTTCCTGAAGATGTCCCCCCTGGCCCCCAGCTGAGAAGGCACATCCCACCCAGAGGGGAGGGGCCAAGACACAGCCCGGCCGGCCCCCCGAACCCCGGGACTGTGGACCCCCTCCAGCACTGATGTGGTTTGAGAAAGGCCGTCCATGCCAGAAGTCAGAACCCTCCTGTCCGTCAGTCACACTCTGGACTCCCATCTTCAAAGACCAGATGGCCCATTTCTAAGGGGCACGTCCCAGCGAGGTGGGGGTACGGCAGTGCACACGATGGTGTCAGGTCACCACACCCTTTCCGTCTAGGCAGGGCCTGGCCCCCAGGGCCGCAGGGAGGTTGGGATTTGTCTGGAGGGACCCCGAGGTCAGCGGAGACGGTCTGGGGAAGCCTTGCCTTGTGGGGAGGGGTGAGTGTATGGAGACTTCCGTCCAGGGCTCTCTGCCCAGCTGCCCCGAGCCTGACCTGGAAGCTACAGGATCCTGCTGGGGGAGGTGCGGGGAGAGGGGGCGTCCGCACGGGCGGGCGCTGTTGGTGGGAACGGGAGAGGCAGGCGAGGCTTTGCATGTCAGCACTGGGACCTCACGTCCAGTCCCGCACGCTGCTCACAGGAACCCGACAGACACCGGGGCCCGGGAGGTTCCACCCCACACTGAAGGCCAAACCTGCGTGAGACACGTTTGCAGACCTCCACCAGCCTGAACAGGAGCCCCCACCTCACACCCCTGGGATCCGGGAAAGACCTAAACCCAGACTCTCCAGGTCCCTGTCTACACCGGGTGGGACCCTCACTGTAAGTGCAGGACCCACTGCCCACCCTCAGGGGCCTGTCTACCCCAGGTGAGAGCCCTCTGTCCGAGGGCCGGAAGGTGGCACCCTCCCACCTTGGGTGTCCCATCTACACTGGGTGTGAAGACTAACTGGGTGGCTGGGTAGGGTGTGTCTGCTTAGGAAGGTCCCACGTGGCCAGGCTCTCTGTCTAGTCCCCACACAGCGGGGGCACCCGCCCCGCTCACTGGCTTTCCCTGGAACTGGCTGCTTGGGGTAGCCGTGCCCACCGTGGGCACTGCAGCTGGACTCTTTCCAGGGACATCCTGCCCGCAGTCGCGCGGGTCCAAGGGCGGACCCCATCCTGGGGTATCCCTTTGGGCCAGCGGCTGGAGACCTTCCTGCCCCGCGTGGGCGGGGGCATTGGGCTGGTCAGAGGCACCCGCCCTTCCCCGTGGAGGACCCCCTCTGGCGCACTTCCCGCAGCTCAGGGACCCTGCCCAGACAGGGCCGCCCTGGGGAGGGGATTAATATCTGAAATGGGGGTGTCCAGCCTGGTGTCTCTTCTGATTGAGGGATCCACGCCAGTCCACCCCGGTGGGAGTAAGGACGTGGCAGTCTGCCTCGTCCCTCCGCCCTGCTGGCCTCATTGGGCCCCCTTCATCCAGCCCCCAGCCCCCCTCCTCCAGCCTCTGGTCCCCGCCCCCTCCTCC